GCACAACGCAGCTCCCACGCAAGACTCCAGCGCACGTACTCCAAAATCGTGCAAGTGTAGAATGATCACGAAAACAGACAACTGCTGGGGTATACACCATCGGACTGACGGGACTGGATGGTATCGACAGAGGTACCGGCCTGGACTGGACTGGACTGCCCCCGAATAGAACAGAGGCCTGTGAGAACAGGCCAAGGGGCTGGTCTCAAAGGCCAACCAGAGGTCCGCTACACGATCCTCGGCCTGTGATGGATCGTCTAGATACAAGCACGCTTCTTCCAAGAAGCGGAACTCTACCAAAGAAAAAGAAAACCAGAGTACTCTAGGATGCGGGCCATGCTGAGTCCATGCGATGCAACCTAGGATAGAAAATCACGAAAAGAGCAATGTCACAGCTGACAGGCTAAGAAAAAGCAGAAGCATACATGTCCTAGGAAAGCAGAAGCAACTAACTAGCATACATGTCCTAGGAAAGCAGAAAGTAATGACACTAGATCCTAGAATGTTGGAGGCACTAGCCTCAGTCTGGAAACAGCTGACTAGTGTATAAGTCCTAAGAACAACAAAAGCAGAACAACTAAATCCTAGAAATGTCAGAGGCAGTAGCCTCAGTCTGAGAGCAACAAGCAACAATAAGTCAACCATATGCCACAGGAGGAGTGTGTCGCAAACTAAAGAGTGGGATGGTCTCTGAGGTTGGTGAATGTAGCCTAGGGGTCGATAACTCGTAAGGGCATCCACACATAGTGACATGGGAAACACATGTCATCAGGCTCAAGGAGGGTAGAAAACTGGGAGCGAATAGAACCAATGACCCTAACAGATAGACCATCAGGGCGGGTAATGCTCGACTAAAGGGGTGACCGCTATGGAGGGTCGACCATGCAAGGGAACAAGGGAGCCTGGTATACTGGGCGCACCTAGATGAAGCATGCGGGGCTGCCTATCTAGGGCGTGAGGGCCGGCAGAGGGTAGAAAGGTGATGGGTAAGGAAATCATGCAAGTGACTCCTAAAGTGAGGGAAGTCGGAGCTAGATCCGTAAGCTGGGAAGCCAGGGAACGCTACGGTCCCGATGCCTATGCGTATACCAAGAGAGCCGAACTCAGAGGAACCCGGCTAAAGGGAGACCATCATTGCGACACAAGCAGGGTGCTGTATAGGGTAAAGTGGTAAGATAGTGATGACGTCTCAAGTAGGCAGAGCTGATCGTGACGAAGTCCGTGAAGCTGCCGATGACGTCCAGGATGAGAAGTTCGGAATGTCGTCGAGGAAGAGCCGCAACGTCGACGAGCTGAAGTAGCAAAACTGATATGGATGGAGTACTGAGAAGTCAAGGACGTGGGAAGGTAAGTCAGAGTCAATCGTCGTATCGAGCAGGACGACGACGAGTGCGCTGTGGACGCTCAAAAGCATCCGGCTGCTGCTGAAGGTGTGCCTCAGATCGAGCAGGACTTCAGCGGTCTCCGCAGTCGGGGGAGAAGGAGGGTCAGTGGGCTGAGGAGCAATGAACCCAGCACGAGGAGCACTGTCATAGGCACGCACCAACATGCGAGCGTGCTGCAAGTGCTCGAGGGGCTCCCAGGTGGCCTCCTTATCAGGATAACCCTTCCAACGTACGAGATACTCGACGTGGGGAGGGTTGTCGTCGGTGACTCGGCGACCAATGATGTTTGAAAGAAGGAACTCCTTGTGGCTGTCCACGATGATGGGTGGAGGGTACTCGTATGGTCGTCCAACGAAACGCTCAGACGGTCTGAGGTAAGGACGCAGTAACGAGACGTGGTAGACATCGTGCACACGAGCCTGGCGCACGTAGTCGGGCAGCTTCACACGGAAGCTGACCGGGCTAGATGCCGTATCAGAATCGACGGCCTGGAGGATGCGGCATGGGCCAAAGAAGCGACGCCGAAACTTGCGAAGCGTGTCCGCTTCGAGTTGTAAGTGGCGGGCGTCGATAAGCACGTCATCACCGACTTTGAATGGATGATCCAACATCGATCGGTTCGCATGTGCGGCCATGCGAGTCTGGGAAGCGGTTATGTGCTCATGTGCGGTCTTCATGATCGACGTCATGTGTACAACCCAATCATCCAGCGCGAGATATATATGTGACGGTCGAAGGAAGTCCGCGGGAACACGAGGGTGATAGCCGAGGTCGCAATAGTAAGGCGACATCCCCGTGGCTGGCGAGACAGCGTGGTTGTAGGCTATCTCCGCGTGGGCAAGATGGAGATCCCACTGCTGGTCGTCACGAACAATCTTTCGGAGAATATCYCCGAGAGTCCTGTTCGTGATCTCGGTCTGACCATCAGACTAAGGATGGTGAGACGAGGAGAAGCGGAGCTGAGTGCCGTACACCTCGTGGAGCCGTCGCCAGAATCGGCTAGTAAAGCGCGGGTCACGGTTAGATATGATGCTCAGAGGTAAGCCGTGGTCGCGCACGACTCTGTCAAACACGATGTCCGCGACCTCACGTGCACTGATGGCATAGCGACACGGAACAAAGCGTGCACGCTTTGTGAAGCGGTCGACGACGACCAGGATAACATCATGACCGCGAGGGGTCGGTGGACGAAGAGGACCGATAAAGTCCATCGAGATGGACTGCCGACGACCCTGAGGGATAGGAAGAGGCTGAAGCAAACCATAAGGCAAGTGGTTCGCACTGTTCACCTCCTGACATGTGGGACACTCTGCGACGTAGTCCTTGATAACAAAGTCCTTGCGCTTCGGCCAGACGTACAGGCGGCTCACACGAGCCAATGTCTTGTGGAAGCCCATATGACCGACGACTGCCTGGTCATGGAACTCTGCTACTGCTCGGACACGTAGTTGTCCAGTGGAGGGAACGCAAATACGGGGCTGTCTGGTGCCCTGTGAACCGTGCCAGTACACGAGACCGTTGCCCTCGAGAGAGTAGTTCGGGACGGTCTTGCCACTCCGAAGGGTCGCGTGGATGTCGCGATAGTTGGGGCAGTGGCGGTACTGAGTGCGAAACTCGTCGATCACCGAGTGGTGGACGGTGGTGACCGAGATGGAAGAGAGCTGGATCTGCTGCTGATCGCGGTCAGGGCACCGGGATAAGGCATCTGCGACCCGATTAGTCTCACCCTTGATGTGCTCAATGGTGAAACTAAACTCGGATAGGTCGTGCCACCAGCGAGCCTATCGAGGAGTGAGCTTCGACTTTGTCAGAAAAGCTTGGACAACAGAGTTGTCCGTGCGCACCGTGAAAGGTGCCCCGTGCAGGTAGTGAGGGCAGTGCCGAGTGGCATAAACTACTGCGAGAACCTCACGTTCATCAGCGGTGTAGTTTATCTCGGCGGGCAGGAGCTGACTGGAGTAGAAGGCTATCAGACAATCACTAGAGCGAGACTCGACAGTGCCGTCCTCGGCGATGGTAGGAGAATAGTCAATAAAAGGCTCCTCAGTAGTTGGACGAGTAGGCGTCAGTCGTAGGGGTAGGGGGTGGGAACTGAGGGATACGAGGATGAGAGGAATCAGGAGAGGAGGGGAAGATCTGAGAAAGCAGTGCTCCTACAGCAAAGTCTGATGCATCGGTGGTAAGGATAAAACGGCGATCAAAATCGGGAAGGTGAAGAACCGGTGCGCATGTCACCGCCTTCTTGAGGGCGCGGAAGGCGTCCTCGTGGAGGGGTGTCCAAGCCCAGGGTGGGTTCTTCCGGAGGAGGGTGGAGGTAAGGACGTAGGAATACCTAGCGTATCCCTGGATGAAATTACTATAGTAGCTGGTCAGGCCTAGGAATCTGCGAAGCTGCCTGGCGGATGGGGTCACGGGCCACTCCGCAATAGCAGCGATCTTCGCGTCGTCCATGTGGAGACCCTGGTCAGACACGTAGCGTCCTAAGAAATCCACTTTGTGCTGGTCAAAGCGGCACTTGCTCAGCTTGGCGTAGAAGCCATGTTTGCGCAAGTGGTCAAGGACGTCGAAGAGGTGTCTGAGGTGCTCCTCAAGGGTACGGCTGTAGACTAGGATATCGTCGAGGTAGACGAGAACGTATTGCTCCAGGATGTCCCTGAAGATGTTGTTCATCGCCCTCTGGAAGGTAGCGGGTGCGTTGGTGAGGCCGAATGGCATCACCGTAAACTCGTAGTGGCCGAAGCGCGATCAGAACGCTGTCTTCGGCTGGTCGGCTGCAGCGATGCGGATCTGGTGGTAACCGCTACGAAGATCAATCTTCGTAAAGAAGCGGTTGCTCGCTAGGCGGTCGAACAGCTCATCAGAACGAGGCATGGGGTAGTTGTTCTTAACCGTGTAGCGGTTGAGTCCGCGATAGTTGATGTAGAGACGAAGAGTTCCATCCGCTTTACGAGCAAAGAGGACGGGTGCACCCCACGGGGAGTTGCTGGGTTTAATGAAACCCAGCCTCAGGAGCTCCTCAAGCCGACGCTCGAGTTCGGTGGCCTCGGGGATCGAGAGTCTGTAGGATGCCTGGTGGTGAACACGATATTCAGGCACGAGCTGGATGGAGTGCTCGACGTCACGCATCGGTGGGATGCCGGCGTACGAGAACGACGATGGGAAAACGTCGTGGTACTCTCGAATGAGGTCACGAACTGCGGGCTCCAGGTCAGTCGTATATCGTGCGAGTTCCTCAGCGTCAGCGTCCGCTCGCGACGGCGAGGTGGACTCGACGGACGGTGGATGGTGGGAAGTAGAGATGGGAGTCATGGAGACAGGAGGATCTGGCTCCAGAGGGATGAGCTCGGCGTCGAGACAGGGTGGATCATAGTGTAAGAGATCCGTTACATTCACCATAAAGAAGGTGACGTCGTCTTGTCGGATGAAGTGAGCGAACTGCCGAGGTGAGGTGACAGTGATAGAAGGGGATGGTGTGGGCATGGAGGGCTCCGAGGGAGGAGGATCGGGGCGTGGTGTCGCGGTGGTACCTATGAAAGGTACGTGATACGTCTGTCCACACTTCGTTTTGAGAACGAGAGTGTTGGTCGCCGAATCGGCCTCGGTGCTGTGGAACCGACGAGACCACGGAGTGCCGAGAATAAAGTCGTACCTTGTCTCCATCACATCGAAATGTGCAGAGGAGCGGTGGCGACGAGATGCCAGGGGACAATCAGTCGGCTCGAGAGTGAGAAAGAAAGGGAGGTCGGTGACCGTTTGATCGAAGAAGCGTTGGGTCTTGTCATCCCCTAGGGTAACGGAGATGGGAGTCGGAGACCCTGTCGTGGGTAAGCGGGCTTCTTTCACCACACGTGGGTGAATGAAGTCGCCCCTGAGATCCGGAATCCCACAGCGCTGAGTACACCCTCGTGGAGGTCCCGAGTCGTACTGGGATGATCGGGAGGGTGCGATCAGGGTCAGAGAGGATGGCGAGAAGGCGACGCAGTGCAACGATATGGAGGGTGAGTCGGTCTTGACGAGCCTGGAGCATGCTCAAGTCCAGAAGAGAGGACACAACGTCCTTGCGAGCAGCGAGCTGCTCGCTGCAACGCGCTGAGCGAATGGCTCGACGCGTCGGTAGTCGCGGGGGGGAAGGAGGGGAGATTGTGGTCTGCAGAGGTGCAGAGGATACTGCGACAGAGGGCTGAGTACACTCTGTCAAGTCCGGCGATACCTCAGCTCCAGTAGCGAGAGGGGCGAACCGTGACGGAGATGTCGGGAAGCCCACAATTGAGGAGAGCGCAGGTGTACACTGCACCGTGGCTAGGAGGCGCTGCGGGGATGCGAGGCGCCGGGGGGGGACAGAGCACGACGTTGGCAGGAAAGGTCAGCGTAGTGGCGGTCGAGGGCGGTAGTGTAAGGGCACCGCGAGGAGGTATAACCGTCTAAGCGGCAGCGCAAACACCCACACCGACCCAAAAATACCCGCGCGCCCCTCAGCGGAAAGGACACCGCTAGGGGGGACAAAGCCCTGAGGGAGGTCCTACTGAGGGACCTCGGGGGGCGACGCTCCAGCGTCACCTGGGCGGATGCGTGCCCAGGAGAGGGCGGAGAGGATGAGGTGGAGGCGCTCGGCCATCGAGAGAGTAGAGTCCTCCAGGTGGTGGTGGATGTCCTAGCCGAGGTCGAGGTCGTCGCTATGGTCCCCCATCTGGTGACAGCGGGGCACCAGCGTCCTGCTCACCATACTCTAGCATGCTGAAGCGGCGCGAGAAGTGGCGGCCCTGCTGCGCGGAACGGTGGGGGCAACCGCGGAAAGGGGAACGACGCTGGGAAGTGCCATGAGAGGAGGCGGCGGCATAGCCGGTGCGCTGAGGGTGGGAGGAGGAGGCGGGGTGAAGATGGGCTCACATCTGCTGATGGTCCCTGGCAGCCTCGTAAGCGTGCGGGGCCGATGTGAACTCGTACCGCCATAGCTCGGAGCGGTACTCGACTGGAAGGCTGACCAATAAACGATCGATAAGGGCCGCCTCGGGGAGGAACGCCATGTCACAAATGAGGCGGGCGTCTTGAAAGACCTGGATGTGGCGATCCAGGCCGGCAGCGCCACCAGAGCCGGACCAGCGTGTAGTGACGACATGCTCGAAGGCGTCAGTCACGTCATATCGGGCTCCGAAGCGATCCTCGAGGAACGCCTGGAAATCCATGAAGGTCGGAGACCGACCCTCACGAACGGAGTAAGCGTAGAAATCCTCCTAGGTGTCGGAAGGACCGCTACGCAGGCGCGTGGAGAGGTGAGCCACCCACGTGTCGGGTGCGGCACCCATGAGCTGGAGCATGCGGGTGGGAGACTATAGCCACCGAGACACGCGTATGCCTGTTCGGTCATACAAGGCAATGTTCGTCAAGCGGACGAGTGGTGCGCCACCATTTTGGCGGCGAGGAGAACAAGGATCAGAGGCCTGTGCCACGGCTGAGTCGGCGCAGGTCATGGAGAAAGGGGCGCAACTGACTGTGTGCCCGGGCCGCATGGGGGAGCGGTGGGGGCGACGGCGCCAGGCTGCGAGGGAGCTGCGGTAGAAGAGGTCGCAGCAACCGTGGGAGTATGAAGAAGGTAGGATGGGGTTGGATAGGGTGCAGGGCGAGGGAAGTGAGCCTGCATGGAAGGGGTGCGCCGGAAGGCGCGGCCACCTGTGAGGGTGGGGGTGGCTGAAGGCGTGAGAGGGCGAGGTCGGTCCGGAGCTGGGCGATCTCGTCCTCGAGACCTCGAACGTAGGTTGAGCGAGGTGTGGCAGGGGGAGACGCACGAGCGGCGTGAGGCATCCCACAAGGGGGAGAGCCGGATGGCGCTGCGGTTGTGTGAAGGGGAGGGAGAAGTGGGGCACTCGGAAAAGCTGCGACAATGGTAGCGGGTTGTGGTACCGTGGCCGTAGTGACCGGGATCTGGGCGGGTGCGCCCGTAGACTGAGGGAGGACCTGACTCGTGGTGGCCGTCGTGCTAGGGGCGTGGACGGTCACCAAGATGGCCCGGTCGGGGGAAGCTCCACCGTGGCCACCCTGTCGGAGGACGGGGGACCCGGAATGGGAGCCAGGAGAAGAGATAGGGTGAGGAGAGGAAGGACGACCAGCGTCCTGGTGTTGCCGCATGCCAACAGCAAGGGTCGCCTCCTGCGCCTGTAAGGGCGTGAGGGTCGCGAGTTGCGCCTGGATGGGAGCAAGGAGGGAGGTGAGGAGGGTGTGCAGATCCCCCTAGGGCTGATGGCCCTGGTCCGTCGGCACGGGTGTGGAGCCCGATGCCGTGGTCATCGCCGTGTCGGCGGCGTGTGAGACACCGTCGACCATGGGGAGATGACGGACCGGACTGGAGGGGGCTAGAAGAGGTCCGCGTGAGCGGAGGGCGTAGGGGGAGGTCCGCAGTAGAAAGCGGCAAACGACACTAGCAAGGCTATCGCGGGCGCCGTCAAAGGGGGAGGGGTGGTTCAGTTCCAAGGTGCCCGAAGAGGACGGGGAAGTAGGGGGGGTTTGAAGAACCCTAAACCCTACAAAAACCCTAAGAAAACCCTAACCGGAGTTTGAGTGGTTATGGTAGGGTGCCGGTGACCTAATCAAGAAAATAAAATAGCAAGCATTGGGGGGGGAAGGCAGGAGAAAAATAAATAAACAGCGAGATTTCAAAAGAAAAAATAAAAATAAATAAAAAAGTAAATAAATAATAAAAATAAGTAAGGAAATAAGGAAACAAAATGTGAAAAGAAAAAATAATATTTATTTTTTTGAAATTTTCGGCAGCATTTCCCTACCCCCCATGGGGTCAAGAATGTGCCAAGGGGAAAGGGGAGACCAAGATAAGCACACATGGTTTCAAGCTGCCGCAAATAAAAAAATTAAGAAAATAAATAAAGAAATAATAAATAAATAAATAAATAAATAAGTAAATGAGTGGGTGAGGAGGTAAAGAGAGATGGGGTATCTGATTTTCAAAAACTTTTGGCAGCATTTCGTTACCCCCATGGGGTCGAAGGGTGCCGAAAAGACTAAGTGAAAATCAGAAAATTTCGGCAGCACTTCGTTACCCCCACAGGGTCAAAACGTGTGCCGAAAGCAAGAAAGACTAACACCTAATGAGATTTAGGGTTGCCGTAAGGAAAATCGAATTTTCAGAATAAATAGAAAAATAAATGAAATAAATCAGAAAATGAGAAAAGAATGTGGGGAAGAAGATAATTCGAATTTTTGGAAAAAGAGAAAAGATAAATCAAAGAAAGATGGAGAGAAGAGAAACAGAAAAAAAAAAAAATCGAAGTAGGGGGGGAAGGGGAATGAAAAGGTGAAGGAGAGAAGAAAGAAATAGGTGGGAGAGAGAAAAGATGGAAGTGGGAGGTAGGGGGATGATGTGGTGGTAGTTGGGGAAGAGGATGGATGGGGAAAGGTGGAGAGGGATCAAGAAGCAAGGAGAAAAAGACGAGGAAGGAAAGAGTAAAAGAATGAGTGGTGGGTGAAAAGGTGGGGTGGGAAGAGGGGTATGAGTAAGAGAAGAGAGAGAGAGAGAGAGAAGTGGGTTAGTAGGGAGAGGGGAGAAGTGATACCTGGCCCTTGGTGTCTCCAAGGGCACAAGGTGTACCAAGACCTGGAGGGTCTTGGCTTTCGCTGCAGCAAGCCAGCTGGAGGAGAGAGAGGGGGCTGAGATCTTGATCAGCCCCTAGCAGCAGCAGTTCTGCAGATCTGCAGATCTAGGGTCTGCTGTGTGAGCAGACCCTCACCACTGTAGAGCAGCCCCCTACGCAGGGGGGTCTTCAGTTCCACCACAAGCTGCCACGTGGCAGTAGAGATGGCCACGTGCAAATAGCAGCCCGGCCGTTGCTGGCCTGCTGCTCGCCGCCCACTGCTCGCCGGCAGGGGGGGGGGAGGRGGGGGTAAATAGCCAGCACGACACCTCTTCAACACGAGTGTGCCATACTACAGGGCCATGCACACACTGTGGCAAGTGTGTTATGAGGGTGCTTACGCACGCGCATGGCCCAGTAGGCGCCAGGGTTCAAACCCTAGCGGCAGCAAACATCCTGGATCTTGATAATGTAAGTTCGGGAGCGGCGGGGCAGCGTGGGCGCGTGGCGCGCGCGCGTGCGGCGGCCTTGCAAGGGCACCTGCTTTTTTCGCCACGTGTCACCTCCTGCAGGGGCTTGCTTTTTCCCTTGTTTTCGCTGGAAAACACCCGAAAAACAGCAAAAAAAACCGCTGTCGGGTTTTGCTGTTTCCCTAGTTGTACGTGGTGTTGTGCCAGCTGTACGGGGTGGTGGGTGGGAGCGGGGAACGTTCCCGCTCCGATACCAATGTAGCGGACCCACCGAGTTTGGTGCTCCGCTAGGGATGATGGTGGAGATGGAGGATGAGGGTGAGCGAGACAGCACAACGCAGCTCCCACGCAAGACTCCAGCGCACGTACTCCAAAATCGTGCAAGTGTAGAATGATCACGAAAACAGACAACTGCTGGNGCACAACGCAGCTCCCACGCAAGACTCCAGCGCACGTACTCCAAAATCGTGCAAGTGTAGAATGATCACGAAAACAGACAACTGCTGGGGTATACCCTAGCGGGCTGACGGGACTGGACTGGACTAGCTGGTACCGACAAAGGTGCCGGCCTGGACTGGACTGGACTGCCCCCGAATGGAACGCAGGCCAGTGAGAACAGGCCAAGGGGCTGGTCTCACAGGCCAACCAGAGGTCCGCTACATTTTGTTTCTCTGATATTAGCATCCGCAAATTTCTAATATTTGCATTTATAGTGGAAAATTTTTAATGTTAGTATCTCGTTTTTCGAGGCATATTAGGATAACGACAGAGGTTGTCATATTATGGGGAACTGAATTTATTCTTTTCGGAAAATCGAATCTCCATTCTATTTCGCAAAAAAATCGTCTTTGGCGAAATTTTGCAAAGCCTATCAACATTTCGTTTGCTATGCAATGAACCCAAATCGTGAAGACACTTGTTAACAATGCGAGTCCCAAATGAATATCAGACTGCTGATGATTACCAATAATCAGAACCGTGTCCATGTAGAATGAGATGGGATAATCATACACAGACGAAGGAGAGAGGAGGGAGATTAGACAAAGGAGAGGAAATAAATACAAGGCCCACTACTACTTCGGGCTCCCTCATCGATCACCACCTCAATATTGAATCAATAGTCTGAACGAGTATCTGAAGTAACCTCAATGTGCCATGTGACACGTCTAATTGGTCCCTCATCAGCGCTGGAGCAATGTCGACATGAAGACAATCAGGTAAGTATCCACGATCTCTCTCCACAGTCCTGATCTCCTCCCGAGTGACGATGAATAAGAACAGCAGTGTCGGTCACGTGGCCCAACCACGTTAGCAGATATAAAAGGTGGCAGCGGCCAGCGTCTCCGCAACTTGCGTCAAGGCGTTCCTCCTGATGAAGAAGTGCTTGATAGCGACAATTGTCGACGGCATGTTGGGCGTGGATGCCAAGCGTTGGTGCTCGGTTATCCAGTCCGTGCTTGGCAGGTCGTTCTGATAGAACTGTTGAAGTTTCTCGGCTGCATGAAGCTCGGGCGGCTCCACTTGGAACCGCTTATGCCATGCCGCCTTGAGATCAGCCCAGCTGATCTTCGTATCCAGCTCGGAGACTGCGACGTTGTGCGTGGACAACATGTTGTCCAACCATGCCTGGCACACGGCCCCTGAGCGGGAGTATAAGTATCCGTGCCGGTTCGGGATGATGACGTAGTGAACGTCCAACTTCAACTCGTACTGGCGCCACCATGGGATCGGGTCTGTCTTCGTTGCATCGTAGAAGATCGGCATGCCGTCAAACTTTGGGATGCTCTCGCGAGTAGTCGTGGTCGGATTGGCTGCGGCGGTACAAATTTACTGGTCAATCCGCTGATTTGTCGCTAGAGCGCCGTTCTTGAGACTCTCGGCGTCGATTTCCAAGACGTTGACGCGGTCCGTCAGGTTGGAGGGTCTGGCGGGGGTGGCTGTTGTAGGATGCTGCTCCAGTCGGCATACCCGGTCAAGCAGTTCGTCAACAAGTCGAGACTGCTTCCAGATCAGGGTGTCCACGCAGAGGATGTCCTCTTGCTGTGCTGCATAGGTGGCGACCAAGTCGCTCAGGTGTTCGATTGTGGTTGCAAGGTCACACACAGCAGGGGGGGGCACCCTCCTCTTCAGCAGCAACTGCCCATTCGCCGGCGATCACGTCGATGTCCCCCTCGCATTCGAGGATTTTGTCTCGGCGTAGTCGACGACGTTCCTCTTCGGCCTTCCTTGCTGCCTCAGCGTCCTCCTGTCGTTGTTGTTCAGCAAGGGGACGTTGTTCCTCTGCTTCCTCATCTTCCTTCTTACGTGCGGACGTTGCTGCAGCTGCCCGTTGCTTGAACTCTGCTACCATGTCCAGCATGCGGGCCTCATAGGCCTCGGTAGTCTCGCCTGGCTGCTGATTCATGCCGCTCGTTTTTGAGCGGGTGAGCACCATGCACTGACGTGACCTGCTACTGCTGTGACTGGTTGCTGACGTGGCACTGTTGTGTCCTGCTGACGTTGCCTGCTGACGTGGCAACCCACCAATGCTGCCGCAGGGGGTACTCGGAGGGAGATAGAGAAGACCAGAGGGGGCAACAACATAGGTGGGAAGGGGTGGGATAAATCGCCCAGATAAGGAGCCACTACTCAAAAAAAGAAAAGTTTGAACTTTGCAAAAAAATCCGAGAAAAAGAAACAATACTCGTTTGCAAGTTTAGTAGGCCTCCCAATTTCCCTGAAGTGCGAAATTACCAATGAGAAAAAAAATTTAACTTTTAGACTGCAAATGATTTTTTGATGAAAGAAATTTGAAAATAGGGTACAAACAAAATTTCGGAATTACTCAGATGAGAGTACACGTAGGTTGGAGAATGATAACGTCAAGAGGAGTTTCCGTACCGTTAAAAAAAAAACGAATTTAGGAAAAAATAATTTCGAATTTCCAAATAACGGGAAATTGCAGAAGGAAATCAAAATTTTCGAGAAAAAGATATTGACGATTTTCAACAACGAAATTTTGGAATTTCAGAAGAAAAATGAAATGGAAATTTAAGGTGTTGCGCTATTGCGATTTTCCACAGCAGATACAGCAGGAAAACAAAATCCAAAAAAGAAAAAAAAAATCGATTTTCAGTAGTGAGGTCAAAATCGTGATTTTGGGGGCTAACTAGTGTGCTCTAATCAATCAATCAAGACTAATTAGCTACCTAGTCCCTGCACACGTGTCAGATCAGGTTGTCCTGATTCACGTTTGGTCTTCCGACACCAACTGTTACATGCCCAGTTGGGCGATGCCCCTACAGTATTAAAATCGCTAATGTGACAAATCTGAAATCCGCGCCGTCGTAGGTCCTATCGGCCCACGACCAAGATCGACTGAACCATGTAACAAATCTGCCATCTGGGCCATTGGGTCCTACCAGACTGACGACCTGGATAGATGCAGTCTTAAGATCTTAGGACCGCACCAAGATCCAGGCTGTCGGTCCGGACCTATAGCTCAGATAGACGCGCCGCGAAGTGTCGTGGGGTACTACCGGACTCGAGTGTCGTGGGCTCAGATAGACGTGCCGCGGAGTGCCATGGGGTACTATTGGAGTCAAGTGTCGTGGGCTCAGATAGATGTGTCGCGGAGGGCCGTGGGTTCTTGGAACCGCATCGTGCCATGTTTTGTTGAGCTTTGCGCCTATGCGTCCATGTTGTTTGCCATAGTGAGTGGTGGGTATTGCCTCACGCCGTATTGTGTATGTATTGCTTGTTGTTGTCGACCTTGCTGCGCGACGCCCAACTCTCTCTCTCGCTCTCTGCATCTCTCTTTCACTCTCGGCAGACTGTCGGGGTTCAACCTCCTGATGAGTCGGTGAAAGTCCAACGAAACAGTCTGGCACAATCATGCTATTTTTTGAATGTATAGCTCGGTGGCGTGGTGATTACTTATGAAACCTCTACCCACACTATCCCTGTCTCCCTCTCACCAAGGGTTGGCCAGCTGCTGTCTTGCGTCGTGAGCTGTGGTGTGCGGTGGAGGAGAGTCGTCATCGACTGAATGCTGCCGCAAGATGGAACTCTCAGGTCAGTGGCATGGCTCCCCCCCCCCTTTCGTGTCTTCGTTCGCCATCCGGTGCTCCTACGCCACCCGACTCCAACCACCCTCCTCCCCCCCGGCCCCCAAAACCATTCCCCTCTGCTCCTCCGCAACCCTATTCCGTTATAGTGCCTCCCCTTCTCCCCTTCGCTTTTCCTCGACTGCCCTGATCGGCTGCCACCTCGACTCTCTTCTTCGCCCATGGAGCCTCCGCGCTGTTTTCGGATGTGTGTGTGTGTGTGTGTGTGTGTGTGTGTGTGTGTGTGTGTGAGAGAGAGAGAGAGAGAGAGAGAGAGAGATTTCGGGCGCCATTCCGCCCCCCCCCTCCCCGAACCCCATTCCACCGCCTCCGTTCCTCTTCGCTCCTCAACACCCCGTCCTTTGTCCGTCGAACCCTCCTTGGTTCGATCGCCCTCCTTCATTCGTTCTCCCTCCGTCCTTTCCCCGCACGAAAAGAGTTTCGTTTTGTTTTTCCCTTCTTCATCCCTCCTCCCTACTTCGTCCCTCCTTTCTCTTTCGCCCCTCCTCCCTCCTACCTTTCTGAACGCACGATCTAAGAAATGTCTGTCCCTTTCTTTTTCCGTTCTTTCCCTAACGACCTTTACCGCTGAATTTGGTGTTTGGTCTCAATGACGGGATGTGCACGCCCGCGTTGAAGCGAGCGCGTGCGCACATGCGCGCGCGTGCGTGCGAGAGAGAGAGAGAGAGAGAGAGAGAGAGACAAAGAGAGAGAGAGAGACGGTTTAGTACTAAGCGGAGGTGGAGGGTGGAATGGAGAAAATCGGGTCGCAAGATAAGAAAAGATGGAGGCTGAGGGCAAGGTGGTAAAATACGAAACATGGGTAGGGCTATGGCGGGAAAAGACCAGCAAGAGGAGGGGTGAAGAATTCGTTAAGAGGGCAAGGATGTGAGGCTGGAGAGGGCAGTTGGAGGGGAAGGGGGGGGGGGTGAGTCAGTTCGGATAGGTGGGGGTTAGGGGAGTGAGGAACCACTTGCGAAGTCTCTTAATAGGAGGTGGAAAAATGGAAAAATACCAGCGGCGGGATTGGGAAAAGGGAAGTATTACCAACAAAGAGAGAGAGAGAGAGAGAGAAGGGTCATGACAACAAATGGATCTGCGACAACAGTGGGAGGCGGAAGAGGAGGGGGAGGATGGAACATTAGGGGAAGGGTGAAAGCGAGCCAGCGAGCGAGAGCGTGTGCGCGCTAGAGAGAGAGAGAGAGAGAGAGAGAGAGAGAGAGAGAGAGAGAGAGAGAGAGAGACAGCAAATGGATCTGCGGCGACAGTGGGACGCGGAAGAGGAGGGGGAGGAGGGAACATGAGGGGGAAGGGTAGTGAGGAACCACTTGCGAAGTCTCTTAATAGGAGGTGGAAAAATGGAAAAATTCCAGCGGCGGGA